GCGCAGTAGGAGACCCGGGTGTGTATCACGGCCCCTAAGGTGGGACATGGGACGAGGAACTCGGGGCAATTTGACGGGGCTGTACCTCGACCGGTTGTACGCCCACAGTTTTCCGTCGCGGGCTTCCAGCCCCCATCTCCTCCTCCTCCTCCTCCTCCGCCTTCTCGTCATCGCCCGGCTTGAGCTCGTCCGCGGTGGGGGCGGCAAGAAGGATCTCTAGGCTGGGACGGTTCCTTTTGCGGACAGACACCCGCCGGCGGATGCGGGAACTGCCTTCATCCATGGCAGGGGCCGAGGGCCCTGCCCGAGGGACGTCCCCGGTGACCCAGGCGCCAAACCCCAGAGCAGCGCTGAGTGGAGGGGAGGGCAGCAGTAGCGACAGCGGCCGAAATCGCTCGCCTCTCCATCCACCTTTGGGAAAGACCACAAATTAATTGCTCCCGGGCCGGAAGTGGGGGCACCAGCGTGGCAGCCCGCCTTCCTCCCGTCCAATCGTAGGTGCCGCGGGCTTGCGGCGCGGCGAGGGCGGGCACGTAAAGGGATTGCGCAAACGCAGTGAACACGGTCTACGGCCCCGGCATTGGCTCGCGGAACCTTGGACGCGAGTCCTCGGGCTCACCCGGGAGCACCGGAAAGGACTTGTGCGGACGACTTAGCGGGAGGAAGGGAAGGGAGGACCGAGGAACCATGGCTTTTGTGGGTGCTCTTTGCAGTGGTCCGGGGAGGAGAAAGTTAACCTGCTTCCTGACGGCCGCCGTCCGCTGCCCAAACCCAGGAGCCCGAGCGGGTAAAGTCTCCCGCCCTCTGCTCCGCGGTGGCACTGCCGCCGCCCCAGCCCTGATTAGGTCGGGGCAGTCGCCGCTGTTAGGTCAACGTCGCCGTTTTCCGGGCAGTGGAAGTTTCTCCTGGGTGGGAATCTGTAACGGCCCAGGACTAGTATTTTAAAGCTGAAAGGGACGTGAGGCGTCTTCCAGTACACTTCATTTTTTTTTTTTAACATACGAGGAGAGTAATGGGGTGATTATTAAAGAGACAGGGACTTGCCTGAGACCTCCGGGTCGACTTGTAAGGAAGGGACATCTCCAGAGCCATCCAGCAGCAAATTCCAGATGTCCGAGGTCCCAGATCAGGGCGAAATTGTGAGCTTTCATCTTTTCTGTGCTTCTCTATCAGTAACTATTCTCTGTAAGGGGTCTGTTACACATTTTCCCTCTGTTGCTTCTTCCCCGAGTATTTGCATTAAAAACCTGTTTCTAACCGTGGGGGGAAGGGGAAGTAAATATCGCAAAAGAGCAGATGAGAGATTGTGTGGCTGGGGAAAGGACATATATACCCTTTTCCCAAAGCTCTGGAAGGCACATCCATATTAAGTCTTACTCTGCCTCAAATCTAAAGGTTTTTGTCCAGTCAGTGTGAGTATAATGAATAGAAAACCTGCCTTTTATATTCAGGTGTCCCTTGATTTTATGTCCCTTGATTCATCTTGCCTCCATAATGCAATGTCTTTAGCTACTTAGCTAACAAAGAATTGGTTTGTTGCTGTTTCTGTTTACTTGCAGTGCTGTGGAGAAGTTGTTCACAATATAAACAAGTAACCAGCAATGAGGACCTGGTAAGAATTGTTTTCTTCCTTTTTATAAGGCATTTGCAAATATGACCAAATTCTTATACGGTTATTTTAGCTATTCAAATAGAGTTCAACAGAAGGACAATACAATCAATAATCATTAGTCTGAGTTTGAAAATTATAATTAATTGATGAGTAGTCACTTGAGTTTTCAAGAGAATTTCTAGACTTCTAGAAAGAAGCATGGCTTCTGCCCTGGTTGGTATGGCTTAGTTGGTTGGATCATCGTCCTGTACACCAAAAGGTGGCGGGTTCGATTCCCGGCAGGGCACATACACAGGTTGTGGGTTCTCGCCCCAGGCTGGGCGCATGTGGGAGGAAACCGATTGATCATCACTGTTTCTCTTTCTCCTTTCCTCTCTCTCTCAAAATCAATAAAAAAATATATTTTTTAAAAGCATGGCTTCTATAATACATTTTTTTCTTCCTAGATCTTAAATTTAAGGATATGTGCTTTGAGAATTTAAAAAGGTTGTTTGGGTGGATGGAATAATTGCAGATAATCCAACAAGGCATTATATACAAAGCTTACTTACAGGTTGGCTCTTCCCCATTTCAAATTCGATTTTATTGCCCCATTCAATTTTTTGGGGGGGGTTGTCTTAATAAATGAGAGATCAAAATTAAAGTTTCATATGAGGACATTAAATATAATTTCTTCTATCCTATATATGTATGTTTATATGTTTTAAGTGCTAGGGTTGGACTTGGCAGTATAGGTTTTCTTCCTACTTGCAAAGATAATCTGACACTAATCAGACCATACAAAGCACATAGTACAGTGCAGGGAAGGAATATAGTCAGTCATTACATGTGAGCTGAACGTAAATTGGTTTAAGAACATTTGAGGACTTGGAAAAAACAAAGAACTCTAGTCCTCCTGAGCATCTATCTTAGTCATTCAATTCACAACCTACCTCAAGAGAGTGAAGGAAATTACTAGAGCTCCTTTTTAGGTTATTAACCCCACTTAGACACTAATGAAAGCTATGGGCTTTCTCAGAAAAAAGCACACATGCCCGGCCAGTGTGGGTCAGTGGTTGAGTGTGGAACTATGAACCAGGAGATCACGGTTCAGGGCACATGCCGGGGTTGCAGGCTCCATCCCTACTAGGGGTCGTGCAGGAGCAGCTGATCAATGATTTTCTACCATCATTGATGTTTCTATCCCTCTCTCCCTCCCTCCCTCCCTCTCTCTGAAATCAAGAATTTTTTTAAAAAGCTATTCAAAAGACAAATGAAAAAGGCACACAGTCCCACTCATTTGAAATTTTACATACAACTACAGGAGTTAGAGGACTTTAAAGCCTTTTCTAGATTAAGAATCTCTAGACTGGAGATGCTTATACTCGTAGGAGGGAGGCATTGTGACAAAAGCATATAGTTAGTGAAGAAAGGAAGTCCAAAGGCTGACACAAACTTATAAAGCAGTCTGGGAGCCATAAAATGGTAGTCAAAGGACCTTATATTATAGTAAGCTATGGGGCATTGTCTTTTAAAAACAAAAATAGTGATAAAACATCTGACAGAGAAATATGGGGATGGATTTAGACATTACATATGACACCTGTTGTGCTATAAGATTTTCTTAATTTAAATCTTAAGAATTTTTAGTCACTTGGGCAAAACATTTGAGGAGGGAATCACTTAGTGCAGATTTAATTTTGTTTCTCCCATAAACCCTTTTTTCTCCAAAGACTGTATTTTATCCTAGAATCCATGACTTAACTCCTCCTTAACCAAACTAAGCCAAAATAAAACACTTGTACAAAATATGGAAAAGCATACTGAAATCTTTATAATGGTGAGTCCTTTTCAGAAGTACTTGTTTTTTCTTTTACAAGCCAAGATGTTGTATTCCTTTTCACAGTAAGAAAGGCAGAACTAATTCTTTGGATAGATTTAAATGTGGTAGCTTTAAGGTTTAGTGTTTTTTAGATTCGAAATTAACGCATTAAACTTTTTAATCATTCTTTTCCCTTTATCCTAGCCTGTTCCAATAGAAAATCCTTATAAGGAGCCTCTTAAAAAGTGCGTCTTGTGTGGAAAACGTGTAGATTATAAGAATGTACAGGTGAGATGTTTTACTTCACTATGACAATTGATTCTAGGATTTTGCTTTTTTAATTAGTCCTAACTAAAGAGAATCAAGTCAGTTTTATAACAGGCTTTATGGAGGGGCAACTGTTTTAGCAACATCATAATTCCAAATCTGGTTATATTTCTATGTATAAAGCATATCTATTTTATTCTAATAATAGCTCACAGTGGCAGTAATTCTCAGTTGATGGAGGTGAGTAGTTTGGAAAAAGCTCCTCTGGTGAAGTTGATCTCTCTACCTCACCAACAATATCACTGCTTCAAATACAACTTTATCTGTTTTACAGCTCTCAGCAAGTTAAGTGGCAAATCTGGGGTAGAGAATGATGTTGAAGTATACTGACAATAGTATAAAGTGATAGCTGCCTTATAGGGAGAAAAACCAAGAAATTTTTAAATGCAGGTATTAGGAAAGGGGACATATGTAATACTTTCAACAATAAAGAATTATAAAAAAAAATAACAGTCATAACAATATAAAAATAAATGCAACATATTGGGAGCATTATGCCAAGAACACTGCCTGGCACCTGGAAGGTGCTAAAGAATTTAAATTTATGAAACATAATTATAGCAAATGGCCCGATGTACCTATGTCTCTTAAAGACCTCACTATAGTCTGGTATTATGTGACAGCCTATCATGATAGGTGAAATGTTTAGTATTTCATTGTAAGCAGGAATATTTTAGAAAAGAATCTGTATAAACAAGAAAACAGCTTTAGCCCTGGCCGGTGTGGTTCATTTGGTTCAGTGTTGTTCCATGCACCAAAAGGCCACTGGTTTAATTCCCAGCTAGGGCACGTGCCCACATTGTAGGCTCGATACCCAGTAGGAGGAATGCAGGAGCCAGCCCATTGGTGTTTCTCACACTGATGTTTCTCTCTTCCTTTCTCTAAAATTAATAAAAACATTTTTAAAAAAGAAAACAGCTTTAGCACTGAAACAATATGGTCATTAATCTGTTGTACAGACTTTTTGAACAGACTGGGTAAGAGATGTTAACTTTAATAATTGCATTAGTTACTTAAAAAGATGATCTGCCCTGACTGGTTTGGCTCAGTGGATGGAGCGTTGGCCTGTGGACTCAACGGTCCCGGGTTCGATTCCAGTCGGGGGCATGTACCTTGGTTGCGGGCACATCCCCAGTAGGGGGCGTGCAGGAGGCAGCTGATCGATGTTTCTCTCTCATCGATGTTTCTAGCTCTCTATCCCTCTCCCTTTCTCTCTGTAAAAAATCAATAAAATATATTTTAAAAAAATAAATAAAATAAATAAAAATAAAAAGATGATCTGTCAATAGGATGAGCATAGTAGTATTTTTCATATTTTATAAAGTTTGTCTGAAATTTATTAATAAACCTTTATATGACTTGAAGGTGACATGAGGTATGCTTTTTGAAATTTACAGTCAAGAATGAATAATACATATATTGATATAAATTTTTTCTTCCTCTCCAAATAAAACTCAAACAGCTTTTGTCCCAGTTTATTTCTCCATTTACTGGATGCATTCATGGAAGGCACATAACAGGTATTTTTATTTCTCTTATAGCAACTTATAAATCTACTTTTGTTATGTAAGAAAACTGGCAAATTTTTATTTTCAAATAGTATATAAATCAGTTAGAAAGCTTAGTATTTAAGAAAGCTTCGTATTCCAAAAAAGGTACTATTTTACATGTCTTCTCATACTCAGAGGTAGCTATAACCTGACATGTAGAAAACTTGGGTTTAAAAAATTGTGTTGGTATTTTGGAGTATACTATAATCGCTCCTAGACTATTATTTAAACAGAGGCCTATTTCTCATAGGCCAAATTGGATCTGCCACTTATTTTTCTAAATAGCTTAGTTTACGTAGTGTCTGTGGCTGGCTGCTTTGTGTACTAAGAGTAGAGTTGAGAAGTTACGACAGAGACTGTACAGCCCACAAAGTTTAAGATAGTTACTTTCTGGCTCTTTATGGGTTTTCCGATCCTTCCTTGACTTAGACAATTGTTATGCATTTTGAATATTGGTATGTTTTATGACTAAGAAAGCATTTTTTTTAATAGGTCTTTGTGGGAAGAAACAAAGAGAAATCACAAAAGCTATTAAGAGAGCACAAATAATGGGTAAGAGAATCTGAAAAAATGATTTGGGCTTATCAATTTTGGTTGTTATCTTTTGTGAAGAACTTAATTGTCTCTTTACAGGATTTATGCCAGTTACATACAAGGATCCTGCATATCTCAAAGACCCTAAAATTTGTAACATCAGATATCGGGAGTAAATTATGTAAAGTTATCATCAATAAACTTATTTTAAAATAAGTGGTTGTTGACTCAAACTATAAGATTTAATAACCTTTCAAAAATTAGTAGGCAAAAGTAAATCTTATCAAACTATAAATCGTCGTAACTCTTAATATGAAATTTTATGAAGAAAAAATGTTTCAGGAGTGAAGTGAGGCGTTACCTATCCATACCAGTGAGTGTTCACTAAATAAAACCAGATTATTGGAAGTGTTAACACTCATTACATTTCCATACACATGGATAAAAAAAATTGGTACTGTAGCACTGTCATTTATATCTGGTCCACAAATAGCTTATACCAGTGGTTGGCAAACTGCGGCTTGCGAGCCACATGCGGCTCTTTGGCCCCTTGAGCGTGGCTCTTCCACAAAACACCGACTTCTGCGCATGGGCCACGAAGTTTCAATTGCACTGTATGTGCGTGCCTGCACGTGTTATTTTGTAGAAGAGCCACACTCAAGGGGCCAAAGAGCTGCATGTGGCTTGCGAGCCGCAGTTTGCCAACAACTGGCTTATACAATAAAGACTGCTGAAAATGGGTTATTAAATATGGAAGAGATGACTTGTATTGGGATTTTACTTTAGGTCCAGATTATGTCTTGTAGGTGGCATTTTAGGGATATGGGACAGGAAAGTGGAATGCTTGTATAATGTACAAATCCCTCACGACGGTGTGGACCTGAAATTGCTCAGGAAGGTTTTCTAACTAGCAAATACAGGTATACGGGGCTAGGACAGTGGATATTCTCTTTGTAGATATGTTACATTGGATGGATAGTGGTGCTGTTACAGGACCTCACATTTATTCCTGGGCTAGTCTATCCTGAAACTGGTAGTGTCCTTTAAATAAACTGATCCATAGGCGATATATTGTGTCGTCTTATTGCTAAAAGTTGGAGAGAAATTGGGGAAATTTTCTTATATTTTCTTCCTTTTACTACGCTGAAAGTTGGGTCATCAAACTCAATTGTGGAAGTTCAGCTGTGTAATAATTAATGACCTGAGCAAGCTTCTCTGATCAACAGTTCAGTAGTGTTATGCAACAGTATAAGCTAAATACTTTTGTATCTCTATAGCATTTTAGCAAATTGAACTTTCCATTAAGGCACATTTAAACTTTAGTCTGAGTAAATATGTAGGATCTTTAAAAAATCTCAAGCTGTTATCTAGAGAAGATATTTGCATATATGTTGGCTGCTTGTTGCCTCTGCTGTTCCTAGTTTTGCCTGTGCACCCAGTTTTGTTCATTTATTGGTTACATTTAGACATTATCTATGTTCTATATGCTCTGATGTTTGTGATTATTTTTAAATAGGGTTCAGTGCACCCAGTTTTGTTCATTTATTGGTTACATTTAGAAATTATCTATGTTCTATATGCTCTGATGTTTGTCTGACAACCTGTTTCCCTCCTTCTGCCCTCCACAACACCACAGGCTTCTTATGTAACCAGTAAAACAGCCCAGAAGAAACTCATTATTTGCAAAATCATTTCTGGTATTATGTGGGCTTTCTAAGCACCCCATGGTAACTAATGGATGTTAACACATAGATAAAAGATGATAGTTTTTTATGCTGGCTATGAATTTGCTCTATTAGGAAATAACATGGAAAAGCAATGGCCAAAGTGCGTGCTCAGCATTTCATATAGTGAGTGAAACATGAAGGCTTCATGTGATGTGTATACTTCATGGAAAATTCTCACAATTATGAAACAGACAAATAAAAAAAAAATAGCAAAGCTCTCTTAGCCAACCTCCACTTAACCAACTCATTAAATTGGGTTAAACTAAACATTCTTCCTAAAAATCTTACTGAAGCCCATGACTCTCCTACCTGTTGAGTTCTGCATTGCCAAGAGTCAGCTATTTTGTTTTCATACCTGTAAGTTGATTTGTTACTGTATTGATGAAAAATGAGCATTACAAAGAAAGTTACTCTTGCAATAAAAACTAAGTAAATGCTTTGAAAGTCCAATAGAAATAGCTTTAAAAAATAGTTGTCAAATTAGGTGTGGTTAGGATTTTCTTTTTAATGTATTACTGCAAATAGCCAAACACAGCTGATCAAAAATCTTTTGGCCTAAAAGGATCAAAATGTAGGAGACCTTGGATAGTCACCAGAATCCTTCATTTTCTCAATCTCCTCATCTGTTTCTGGGCTGCTTGTGGATGATTTTTCTTGGTTACTACTATCAGTATCTGTTTTAGATGGTTGACTTTGTATCTCCAACAGCCGTGACTTCTTGAATCGCCGTCTGTCATCTGTATCTAAAGCTTTACGCTTCATCTCTTGCCGTGCAATACTAGCTGGACCAGCTTCAGGAATGTCAGTGTATTCTACCATTAAGGTCAGGTTGTCCACCACATTGAGTTGGTGATTGGTATTACAGCTACTTTTAGACATATGCCGATTTTTCAAGGAGATAACACATGAGTGAAGAAGTTCACAATCTGGAAAAAAGGTCCGTAAAGCTTGACAAAGAATAATGTTCTCCTGAGGGTCTTTTTGGACATTCTTCTCTCCTAAAACAAAATAAAGTAACAGTTCAACAAACAATAGTTGTTCTACAAAGCATTTATAGTTATCTGTTAGTAAAGTTGAGTCAGAAATACTAACAATTTTATCAAACTGTCTAAACTGAGAAAAATGACTTACATAATCCCAAACTCCTACTCATGCCATAATATTCTAAGAGAATATTATAATTAAATTATTTAATGTCAACAATAGAATATATCTATAATAGTACCATGTTCTTTGCTCACTGGGATTTAAAAGTATTAATAAAACAATTATTTTTAATCTTAAGATGGGCAAATTCATCCGTGCAGCTGGCTCATCCATAATTCAAATCAGAACTTTTTTTAGGCATAGAAAGAGGTGGTGTGCGAACTTTTTACTTACGTGCTGCTTGAATCTGTGCTTGTTTTCTTTTTTTAATTTCTTGTTTTAATCTGTTTACATCCTTTAGTAGTTTCTCTACTGCTTCTTCACTCTCTTCTACTTGTTTGCATATACTCTGCAAAATAAAATAATGCAAGGATATGGATAAAGTTCCAAGTCTGGGTTCATAAAATCCTTCATGGTACATAATATTAAGTATTATTTGCTTTTATAAAAACTTTAATTTTGCTATTTTTTGGAGGAACTCAACAATAAGCACTTGTATGGTACTTCATAGGTAGCAAATGTTTTACAGATGTATTAACTTCCCTAGCTTTATCATACCAGTTATTTCTCTGATAATGCACTGAAATAAAAATAACTTGCTTTGAAACAAAAAATACTGTACTGTTTTGAGAGGTAAACATTTAATATTAAAGAAAAGGGACTGAATTTTACTGTTATGGAAGAATTTATATACAGGACCTTCATAATTCCTGTAAAAGAAACTATTTTTTTATTTTTAACTGTTGACACTATTACAGATGAAAAATGTTGATACACATTGATGTGCCTTTATCACTATCAACTATATAAAAGCATGTATACATTAGGGAAAAACTGCAGAATATGGCAAAGTGAAAATAGTTATATTGCAGTGGTGGAATTCTGAATGTTTCTCTTTTCTAAAATTCCTGTACTATCACTCATATTAGTAGTGTGTAAAATGTATTAACGTCATTTCTCTTAGTGTGCTATATTGATGAGTATGGTGACCATGGAAGTATACTACTGTAATCTCCATCTGGAGGAGGCATAGTTGACTTAGCAGCCCAGCTGCCATGCTTTTGGACCCACTACTGTGTCTGTACTTAGGCCAGGCTTTCTCTAGGCTGCTCTTAGTGACTGAGCATGTTGTGGGTATTATTACAAGTCCATTCCTATAGGACAACTTTGCCTGGCTGAAACTTTTCTCGTCCTGCAGTCTAAATAAAGCTCTTCCTACCCAATTTGCTTTCTCTGTCTTCTTTTTCAGGAGCACCCTCCCCTTCTCAGCCTAATAAATCTGTCTAATCCTACCTTGATGTTTACTTCTCAAAGGACTGAACTGACAAAGATAGAACTAAATATAGTGCTAGACTGTCTTGTTCCCAAATATTTGCTGTTGTTTTTTTTATCCTATAAAAGGATTATATGTCCCTACCTATTTTCATGCGATGTCCTCTGACCAATGAAATATAAGTGGAAGAGACAGGCCATCTCTGAGCAGTTTTAAGAACTGTGAACTTTCACTAGCTTTCTTGTTCTTCCTTTGTCATGAGAAGAGCATGTCCCATGTAAGGGCTGCACCTTCAGTCTGGATCCTAGAATGAAGATACTAGTACTTAGAACAGGAGCAGAGTTGCAGCCAAGACATAATGCAAGGCTAAACTTTTGTATGTATAGGCTACTGAGATTAAGGTCTTGGTTACGGAAGCTAAATGAAACTAAAATTAAATCTAATCTAATGTCAATTTATCCCTAAAAATTCTCAATGATCAATTTGATATCAACTCTGAAGTGGTCTCTAAGTGTTGGAAAAGTTATATTACCTTTAATTCCTCTTGTAAAGAAGCATACATTTCATTTATCTTGTGTACTTCCTTTAAAGATCCATCTTCTTTAAAAAACTCAGGGCTGTAAAACATCATTTCATCAGGCAAGTGTACAGAACTCATTTAATGATATGATGAAAAACTTATTGGTAGTTGAGCTATGGAAGAATCACAGTCATATTTTACTGATCTTAAAGCTTCATTGCTTGAAAGAGGCAACATTATTTTATATACCAAGAAGAAAAAAATGCTAAGGCATGGTTTGTAAAACATCCCAATTTGAGGTAAATTTAAAACTGTACATCTTAGAATCAACGAAATGTAAGACACTGGTAAGCTCTGTGGGAACACAAAAATAAATAAAATCTAGTGCCTTTCCTGAAAGTTTATTCACTAGGAAGTATCCTGTAATACCAGTGTTGCTATTTCTGACAGTCATTTCTTTAATGATCACAAAAAAGTTGTAACTTAGCAGCTGGTAGTATGTGTGAATCTTGGCTAAAGCCTCATTTTTTGTATTTATTATGCAGTCTAATTTCATGCCTTTAATCTGAACTGATGCCTTAATAAATTTATTATTTTAAGGCTAGCTACTTATTCTTAGAAAATACGTTAAAATATGCAACAACTTCCCTCTATGTATTTTATAAATGGACAAGTGCTAGAAGGAAATATGGAAAAAGTGATGTCTACTTTATTTGAGTGATATGGGTATTAGTCGATTTTCCTTTTATTTTTATTCAGTTGTATAATTTAAAAGTTAATTTCAGTAAATGAATAGGAATAAGTTTAGTGGGGAAGCAATTGAGGAATCTCACCTGTGTGTTTTTACTGCTCGGCTAAAACCAGTGGATGTACAGGAACCTGATACAGTTTTATAACCTAGTTGTTCAGACATGCCCAGGTTGGCCACCACTAAAGGTATCCTATGAAAAAGTCTGAGGAAATAAAAATTTAAAATATAAACCTAGAATAAAGGCAAAGATTAGCATCTACTCATTAGTATAGACTACCTTTCCCCTACAAGATTAAAAAACAAAAAAATCCTATTATTACTTATCCAAGATAGAATTTACTGACTTGAGGAAAATGGCTTTTAAAAGTTGTGAAGTGCCCTCGTCAGTTTAGCTCAGTGGTTAGAGCATTGGCCCATGGACTGAAGTCTCTCAGGTTTGATTCCAGTCAAGGGCACATACCTCTGTTGCAGACTTGATCCCTGGTTCTAGTTGGAGTGTGTGCTGGAGGTAACCAATTGATGTTTCTCTCTGTCTCTCCCCCTCCCTTTCAAACTCTCTAAAAATCAATGGAAAGCCCTAACTGGTTTGTTTCAGTGAATAGAGTGTCGGCCTGTGGACTGAAGGGTCCCAGGTTCGATTCCGGTCAAGGGCATATGCCTGGGTTGCGGGCTCGATCCCCAGTAGGGGACTTGCAGGAGGCAGCTGATCAATGATTCTCTCTCATCATTGATGTTTCTATTTCTCTTTCCCTCTCCCTCTGTGAAATCAAAAATATATTTAAAAAATTTTTTTTAAATAATAAAAATCAATGCAAAAATATCCTTAGGTGAGTATTAAAAAAAAAGTGGCATGTACATAGTATAAAATAATTACATAAAAATACTTTTATGGCTATTGTAACTGATTAGCACATCCAATATAATAAAAGGCTAATATGCAAATACTGAATGGAGGAATGACCAGTCGCTATGACATGCACTGACCACCAGGAGGCAGATGCTCAATGCAGGAACTACCCCCGGTGGTCATTGTGCTCCCACAGGGTGAGCGCCGCTCAGTCAGAAGCCAGGCTCACCGCTGGCGAGCGCAGTGGCGGTGGCGGGAGTCTCTCCTGCTTCTGCGGCAGCACTAAGGATGTCTGACTGCCAGCTTAAGCCATCAGTTGGACATCCCCCTAGGGCTCCTGGACTGTGAGAGGGCACAGGCCAGGTTGAGGGACTCCCCCTGAATGCACAAATTTTGTGCACCGGGCCTCTAGTATAAATATAAGGCTGTATTGTTGAGATTTAGCCTATCTTCCATGAATAATAAAATTAACCTTAGTTGGTACTCTTTTAAAATTCTCATATTCCATGAAAATGTTTATATAACCTTTGGGGAGTCTGTTAAACCATTCTGGTAGATCATCAAGAACTACCTTGCTTCCTTGTAGAGGTTGTAGAAAAGCTGCTCAAGTATCTAGGTTTAAATTCTACGTTATATCCTTTAGCAATCAATATCTAAAGCACACAGACCTAACCAGTTTGGCTCAGTGGATAGAGTGTCAGCCTGCAGACTCAAGGGTCCGAGGTTCGATTCCGGTCAAGGGCATGTACCTTGGTTGCGGGCACATACCCAGTAGGGAGTGTGCAGGAGGCAGCTGATTGATGTTTCTCTCTTATTGATGTTTCTAACTCTCTATCTCTCTCCTTTCCTCTCTGTAAAAAATCAATAAAATATATTTAAAAATATATATCTAAAGCACACATTTTTTCCACCTTATGTTAAATAATAGCAAATCCTCAGTGCCAGAAACCTAAGTCAACATTCCATACTGGGCTTCTAATTTCTTTATCTGACATTCATTTTCCCATCTATTAAGAACAGATGGTAAGACACACTTCAGAGCAATATTATGACAGTCTACTGTAACAATGTATGAAAATACTTGGTAAGCTACTAAAAGTGCTATAAAAATATTGAGTGTATTTTTCTATTAGCTTAGGATAGTCAATGACTGGCCAACATTTACCCTTTCTGTGGTTTATATAAGGCATGCTCCAGCCGATGAGTAGAACAGCTTTCTGTTATTATACTTGGTGTTAATAGCAGAAAAACAAGTTCCCGGCTTGAAAGATGCTGCTGTAAATTTTTGTGAAGTAGTCTTTCTCTAAATGTCATGATCTGGTCTGAATGGCGTCGGAATTTGTACCAACCCACCACATCCTGAAAGGAAATACAGAAAAAAACAAAACACCTTAATAATTACAATTATTATGTGTCTTATCATAATTAAGCAATAAAATTGACAGCCTTAAAAATGGCTTTCTTAATATTTAGCAAGATTTGGGGGCATATGTAAACAAAACACACTTAAATATACACTTTTACACTTTGTAAAGTATGCAAACTGTCTTGCAGTTAAATTACTTTTTATTCAGTTTCAGGACTAAATTTTATTCAATATAGATTAGGGGGAAAAAGATTAACTTCTTTTATGGCATTTTGCTCTTTTAAAATCTTAATCTTTAGCTCGGCCATGCCTCTGGTGGGGGACCCAGGCCGGTACCAGGCACTGCTCGGGCTCAACCATCTCTACCTGGGGGAGACTGCTTCCTGCTAGTGCTTTGCTGCGGGGGGTGGGGGGAGGGCGGACAGGAGGGGGTTCTAGCGCTGGGGGTGGCCCTGGCAGAACTGGCCACCGCCCTGGCAGCCCAGGCAGTCAGCCTCCTGAACCCCCAGGGAGCGGGGATCCAGGCAGTGGGGGGTTGTTTGAGGCTGCAGCCCGCTTCTCACCCGCCACCTGGGCCCTGCCACCTCAGGGGGAGTGACCACGCTGCCTGTGGAGGAACCAGTTGTGTCCAGAGATGAGGTCATCTTCCCACTCACTGTTAGACTGGCCCCAGGGACACCTAAGGCCAAGGGCCTAGAAGTCCCCTTGATTGCTGTGGTTCAGTGGTCCACCCCAAAGCTGCCCTTCACCAGAGCATCTACACCCACTACCACCTGCCCAGCGTTCGTCTGGACGCCCATGCTTTGTGATGACTGCTTCTTGTGAGTCCCCAGTTCGGACCTATGAGCATTTCTCAGTCACCTACATGCTGCTCAACAATCTCCAAGACTTCCTTGCTGTGAGGCTTGTGTGGACCCCAGAGCACGCACAGGCTGGGTGACTTTGAGGATCAATCAAGACTGTGCTCCTGGAAGCCCCTTGCTGAGGAACACTGTACAGATGTGTTTACTGGTCGCTGTTTCTGCCCCCCCCAGGAAACCAGCTGTGTGAGGACCTTCGGGCCATGCAGGCTGCCTAGACTCCATTGTCTGCCACACGCCTCTCAACCCTGGCTTTTCCTGGAAGGGCAGTGCACTCACCTTCAGTGTAGCCTTCCAGGCTCTAAGGACAGGGCTCTTTGAGGTGGGCTGGGGAGGTGCTGGAGAGGGGGTGGACGGTGTGGTGGGTGATGCAGAATGTTGGGATAGGAGGCATTAGGGCCGCTAACTGCTGGAGATGAAATACAATGGATGGCACTAAAGGCAGGCCGAGGGAAGGTGGAATTTAGGTCCAATATTGGTCTGTCAAGGGGAAAGGTGATTTGAAAGGAGGTCTGGGGCCTGGAAGCCAAGTGGGAATGCTGATCTGTGTCTTTCCACCCCAGCTGAGCCAGCACATGAAATTGAAGTTACAATTCACTGCTAGTGTGTCCCACGCTCCACCCGAGGCCCAGCCCCTCTCTGGAAAGAGCAGTCCCAGCAGCCCAGCTGTCCAGGACTTGGTGGAGAGGCACCAGGCTAGCCTGGGCCGCTCTCAGTCCTTCTCTCACCAACAGCCTTCCCGCAGCCACCTCATGAGGTATGGAACCAAAGGAGGGGAGCCACTGGACTCAGTAGAGGCCGGAATTGGAGCGGGAGCAGGAAGCGGTCCTGAGGTCTAACTAGAGCCCACATCCTCTGCCTTCCTCCAGGTCCAGCAGTGTGATGGAGCGCAGGGCCATCACATCCCTGTGGCCTCCCTAGTTGGCCGCTCCCTCTACCTGCCCCCAGAAAAGGCTGTGCTCTCTGCACAAGATTGCAAGTGCAAAGTCCTGGTGGTGGAGCCCATAAGGTAGCACCTTGCAGGCCCTCTTACACTCCCAGAAATCAAATGTCTCTGGAGGGGGTCCTTGTTCCAGGCTGTCTCCCCCTAGGGATGCCTCCCATTGTAGGTGAGGAGGCCATAGCCTGTCTGTGTCTGCTGATGAGGTGAAATGGGCAGGTATGGCTGCAGCACTAAACCAACAGTATTTCCCTGACTTCCTGGTGGGGGAGTGAGGGAGAGGGGGTGCTGGTTCCACCCCTTAGTCAGGGCAAGGGTTCTAAGAGCGCCCTTGTTTCCCTGTCTTGTTCCCTGGTTCTAAGTTTACAAAGTGGTTTCTCATTCCTATTAAGTTGTCTTTCCTACCTCTGACATTATCCCCCACCTACTCACCCTAGGGCTGAGATTAGAGGGTGGTGATGCTAAAGGGACCCAGACAATGACCCTCCTGTCTCAGAGGTGAGGGGAGATAGCTAGGTGGCCTCCTCCTGCCCCTCATGTTTACGTTTGCAGCCTGAAGCACTTTAAGTTGTGTGGGTTTTGTTTTTGTTTTTTGTCTGTCCCTGTAACTTATTCTCCAATTACTGCTTCCAAATGAAATAAGACTATTAAATGCCTGTTCAGGAGGGAAAAATAAAATTTAAAAAATCTTAATCTTTAGTCAAAATTTAAACTAAGAAAATGTCAATGAAAAGTTGAATTCCTATATAGATACTTGGTTTGTTAAATAAGTAAGTTGAACCCAGTAGCTTTTAAAACTGAAATTTATATGGTAATGATTTATCACCTACCCCAGAGAATTGGTTTCAAGATTGAATAAGATCACGTGAAAGGGTTGTGAACATGCTAAAGAAATGTGTTAAGTGTTACTAAACCTTTTTTTTTAAACTACAAAATTAATCTCATTTGCTGAAACTTAGTAATTGTAAAAAAAAGAGAAAAACAATCACTTCGCTTAGAGATCTGTCTGTGACCATTTCAGCAACTAAGTTTTATATTTGCTCATTTAAATTGAGGAAATTAAAATTACTTTAAAAAAATATATTTTTATTGATTTCAGAGAAGAAGGGAGAGGGAGAGATAGAAACATCAATGATGAGAGAGAATCATTAAATGGCTGCCTCCTGTACACACCCTACTCGGGATTGAGCCCAAAACCCAGGCTTGTTCCCCTATCAGAGGGAGAGATAGAAACATCAAGTTCATAGGTTGACGCTCAACAACTGAGCCACACTGGACGCTCAACAACTGAGCCATACTGGCCAGGTAAAGTTACATCACTTTACAACTAAAACATTTTTACAGGTACATTTAAAAAATATAATTAGAAACCCAAGCATTTCCAACAAAGGATTTTTTGAAAGAAACTTCTTTTACTGATTTTACTTTTATTTTGAACTCGGAGATCAAAAAGTTTTAAGAGGAAAACAGTACCCAGAAAAAATTGTGTATTTGGGAAAAAATATCTATTTTGATCATTCAACAAATTTTAACTGAACACCAGGTATGCTGTGGAGGAATCAAATTAGGTGCTGTATAGGAAATCATCCCTGCACTATAAAAACAAGTAACTGCAGCTATGTAAAAACAGTAGTGGATTAAGTCCTAGAATAAATGGTACTGGGAAGGGGTACAGTGGGAAAGTAGAAGAGGAAGAGATCAATGTTCATTAGAATAGTCAAGGAAAGAATGAAAACAAGATTAATTCTTTTAATGACTAGTTTTGCTTTCAGAGCAGCCCCTTTAAATTTCTGGAAAGAACAAGCCTTACCTCACCTGCTTTATAGGACATCATGATGACACATGGTGCTTAAAAGTTCTGTCAAAGTGTTACATGCTTTTAGGAACTGAAAATAATACTTATAATATAAAAGACAAGGTAAGTCAGGGAATACCTTTTTGATACTTGATAGTATTTTCTTCAGTGCTTGCTCATTTAACTCACCAGAAGAATTGTAGAAACTGTAAAAGCCAAAATTAAAGGCATTTCAAATAAGCTAAAAATATTATTTTATTAGCACCTTTAATTTTAGTTACTCCTAACCTAACTACCCAACCCAAATCCATATATATCTACCTGCTTGTCAGATGAAGTTCTAAAATAAATAGTAGAGAACGTTCTCAAAGTATCAGACTTAAAGTGGTAGAAATATGAGGTCCATAAGCAATGAAAAAGGAAAAGGGGTGGAGAAACCTCAAGAGATAACTTTGGGCATCACATTTTCTTGAAATAAAACACTATTCATTAAATATAGGTATTTGTGGAATTCACGCAGCCAGTTCTAAATTAATTCATAATTTACTTATTAAAACTTAAAGGAAAATATTGATACATACAAAAGAGATGTAAAATGAGTATTGGAGCACAATAATGAAAAGACAATTTATTCATTGTTAATTCCAAAGGCAGTATTTGCATTAAATTAAGAGAAGTGTTTCAGGAGTTGGTTGTTTTTTTTGTTTTTGTTTTTTTTATGGGGAGTGCAGGGGAGCACAAAATAGGTACTGCTTTAGTTTAGTGTTCGTTGTTCTGTAGCTGGAAAGTCAAAGATGTAGGGAGAATTAAAAGATAATTCTAAAAGATGTTAAACTCTAAAGCATTTACTTCCAGCCTTCTTTCCCTTCCAACAAGGAATGCATGTAGTATTTTCCTTCTGTTAACATTCATTGAGATAAAACATATTCTTTTCTATGATGGTGCACTATCTGTAATGCAAAATCCTTTATAAATAAGTCACTGTAATAAGTTTAATGGTAATTCTAATCTGTACACTAAAAATTAAGTTACAAAGAACTGAAGGTATATCCTAATGGACAATATTTTTTCTTTTTAAATTACAAATGCTTACATTAAAAGTTTTTAATGGAGCCCTAGCTGGTTTTGCTCAGTGGATAGAACATCGGCCTGCAGACTGAAGGGTCCCAGGTTCAATTCCAGTCAGGAACAGGTACCTCGGTTGCAGGCTCCTCCCTGGCCCGGGCCCTGATGCCTGTGCAGGAGGCAACCAATCAATGTGTTTCTCTTACATTGATGTTTCTCTGTCTTTCCCTCTCTCTTCACACTCTCTAAAAATCAGTGGGAAAATATCCTCGGGTGAGGATTATAAAAATAAAAAAAAGTTTTTAATGGAAAAATAGACAAAATAAAGTGTTCCATCTACCAAAGGCAGGTCCAGAGAAATACTTTTCATGAGTCTCCACCAAGAATCCCTTAGTCATTCAACAAATATGTTTGTATGTTCATTGTATGTAAGGCACTATATGAGCTGTACCTCTTTTTGGTGCAGCAGTTTAAGACTATACTAAGTCTTTTTTCTATCATCCCCTACCATAAATTTTTATCACCTTAACCATGTGCTCCATTGCAACTCTTACACAATCACTAAGTGTGACTGTAAGATAATAATGTTGATTATTCATATACAGTTTATATAAATCATAAAGCTATTTCATTAAAACTATACCATGTTATAGTTATAACTGTTTGCTTTGTGAACATTCATTTGTGTACTTTTCCAAATGTATGTAACAATACTTCAATAAAAAGTATTTAAAAATACCACAGCTTATATTAAGAGCTAACAATACTACTTCTATCTAAAGGACTAAGAGCACAAGTTTTCACCCTAGAATAGCAAAAGGAAGCAGGGTAAAGAACCTAACTGGTTAATTGACGAAATATAACATTAAAAAAAAATACGATAGCCGAAACCGGTTTGGCTCAGTGGATAGAGCGTCGGCCTGTGGACTGAAGGGTCCCAGGTTCGATTCCGGTCAAGGGCATGTACCTTGGTTGCGGGCACATCCCCAGTGGGAGATGTGCAGGAGGCAGCTGATCGATGTTTCTCTCTCATCGATGTTTCTAACTCTCTATCCCTCTCCCTTCCTCTCTATAAAAAATCAATAAAATATATTTTAAAAAAAACGATAAGTGAAGAAACCTATGATAAACTAGAATAAAAGGGTAGGAAAAAAGGCTGCAGTTGATGTATGAAATTGTGTCACTGAGTTTATAATAATGCAATGAGATGAGTGGGTGTGAGAAGGAAAAGCAATCCTCAAAGTAAACTGGTACCTGGGAGAGGCAGTAGAGACCAGCTAACACAAGCATATAAATACAAAGAATGAAATATTAGGGTTGAAATGAACAAGTAAATTTTCATGTATTAAAAAAAGTCTTCCCTGACTGGTTTGGCTCAGGGGATAGAGTGTCGGCCTGCGGACTCAAGGGTCCCAGGTTTGATTCCGGTCAAGGGCATGTACCTTGGTTGCAGGCACATCCCCGGTGGGGAGTGTGTGGGAGGCAGCTGATCGATGTTTCTCTCTCATCAATGTTTCTAACTCTCTATCCCTCTCCCTTCCTCTCTGTAAAAATCAATAAAATATATTTAAAAAAAAAAGTCTTTTCATTTTAAACAGCAGCACCATATATAACAAAGATACACTGTTAGTTTTAAAAATTACTTCACTTGCAGAGTAATTTTCACAGTGGATCATTTACTTGCTCTTGCTTACTCACCTAAAAAGCTGATAACATGGAATATATTTCTGAATGTCTGGAAAAAAGAATTTTTAGTTACAATTACATTAATTGTTATTTGAATAACATGTCGAATACTTCGTCCCAGGAAGTACTTTACCATTATCTCATTTAAACCTCAGAATAAACCTATGAGACAGATGTTATTCCTTCCATTTTAAAGATGAAGGAACAGGCAAAGAGATTAAGTGACTCTCCCAAGCCAGTGGTAGGGCCAACATTCAAAGAGCTTCACTCCTAACTAGAGTGGTATATTCCTTCTATGTATGTTACTAACAACAACACAAAAGATAAATTCAAAGTTGCAATTTTTCCTTTGAGTTCTAAAAAGGGTTATGCTCTAATTTTACTCAATTGATAAAAACAGCTGTTAATGGGATAATCTTTTGTTATTACAAGTAGTTGTCTCACAAAGGATTTGTTAATGTTAACTACAAACTATCAAGAAAAAAAACCCAAACATCTTTTTCTTTACAGGGCATGGGACGATGCTCTAACCAACTGAGCCATACCAGGCCAGGGCAAAACGTTTTTTAAGAGGCTAGTTTTATTTCTTGTCAATAGAAATAAATCTAAATAGGGAAAGTGATCATCCTCCTTAGACATTTTTCTTCTAGCAAATGTATGCTACCCTCAGATAAATCTCTGTCTGAAAAAACACTGAACAGATAAGTCTTTGTAACTGATAACAGCTAAACATTCTCTGGTGCAGATAACAGAGAGTATAAAATGAAAATTTCATTAACCAAAGCAATATAGGAATTTGTATATCTTGGATTTTATCTGTTATCATGTGTCTTAAAGTAATCTAACATTTTAAAATAATTTGAGCAAATAAGCGTTTCTATAGCACTTGGCTGACACCTTAAAGCTGAGCACTATCCCTGGCACAAGGACTCAGTAAATGGTTGCTTATTTCAACTCCTCAAAGTGTGTTTGATACTTTGGGCAGCATACCGATTAAAAGAAAAAGTCCCCCCGCTGCCCCCTAGAAAAGGTCAAATACATAAACTCTCAATCTCATTTGTAATTAAGAAATGCAAATTAAAATGATTTTTTTTTTACTTATCAAGTTGGCAAAGATGAAAAGACCTGATAATAACCAGTGGTGGCAAGATTATGGGGACCCAGGTACTTTTACATATTGAGGAGTCTAGGATGGCATGACTTTTCCAAAAGGCAATATGTCTACCTCTAGGAAGCTGACTTTCAGATATATTCAAAGGCAAAAAAGATATATGCACAATAAAATGTCTACTATTTTATTACAAATAGAAAGTCATTCATAGCTGTAAAAATAAGTTATGGTATGTCCATATAGTGGGACTCTGAAGCCATTAGTAAGAATGACAAACTATATACAATGGCATTCTTCTGTACTAATAACATCTTGGAGATATTTATTCATGTATAGATGATCCCTTTTGTGTAAATGAAACATATACTAGTACATATGAAACCAATAGTGGTGGCCACAGAGGAAACTAATGAGAGTGAGTTTAAATTGACTTTATATATTTACTTTACACATATACACTATATTTATACACACATGTAAATTTACATATATGTACTTCCATTTTTAACTTTTTAAAGTGGCAAACAAAAAATGACATGAATAATGTGAATATCCTATCTAATAATTGACAAACATGGTTAATAATGTGAATATCCTATCTAATAATTGACAAACATGATAATTGACCGTACCTTCACTACACCTTCCACTGGCTAATCAGCGTGATATGCTAATTAACCACCAACAAAGATGGCGGCCGGCAGCCACGCAGCTGAAGCGAGCAGGAGGCTTGCTTACTCCAGTGATGGAGGAAGCCAAGGTTCCCCGCCTGCCGCGGCCCAGCTCTGAGCTCCGAAAGCAACGAAGTTTCAATTATAGAAGCTAAACAAACCCCAGATACCTGCTTTCAGCAGGCCGTGGCCTCAGAGCTGGAGCGAGCAGGAGCCCGCTCTCAGCTCCAGTGATGGCAACAAAGTTTCAATTATAGAAGGTAAATAAATCCCAGAATAAAAAAAAAGCAGAAAAAAAGGAGAGGCTGGGAGCTTCTGTCACCGGCCAGCCTGAAAACAGCCCTCGGCCCCTCACCCAGACTGGCCAGGCACTCCAGTGGGGACCCCCATCCTAAAGGGGGTGTGGCCAGCCTGAAAACAGCCATCAGCCCCTCATCCAGGCTGGCCAGGCACCCCAGTGGGGACCCCCACCCTGAAGGGGGTGTGACCAGCTGCAAACAGCCATCAGCCCCTCA